GCTGCCTTTGTCGCCTGGGCGTATTCAGCCACAGGTCTTTGGTGCTTTATCGGTCTCTTCCCCCATGCGGAAGAATTCGGCTTGGCCTCGGGCCAACAGGCGTCTGAGCTGACCAGGATCCAGCCTTCTCCNNCCCTACCCTCTCCCCCACCCCAAGATTTTGCGGCCCACCCCTTTCCAGCCCCACCCCCACCCCAAGCCTTGCCAACATAATTGCTTTGCGACGTGTTGCCAGCCCGGCCACCGAGAATTGCTGACGTTTTGTCACCGGTGCAGGCTGGCTCTGCACGCACATCCACGAGCCCACTGTGAGACTACGTGGGAAGGCGCGTGCTAGCATTGATATTGATCAATTGGCTGGAACCAGATTCGAGCGCTTCATGCTTGAGCGCCCAGCTGCCGTGCTAGTCTCAATCCGTTTGCGGGAAGCGGGCCATCGTAGTAGTCCTCAGACTTGGGAAGGATTCAACACTTTGACAGCTGCAGATCGAGCGCAGCTCAAGCCCCGGACACCACCCTTCCAGTGAGGATCTGACATGATAGCCTGTAAGGATACATCATGAAGCAAGGCATGGAGTGAGCGGCACCCGCCTGACGCTGTGCATGGCGGAAAGCCATACTTCCCGGAAAGCTTTTTGCACCTACGGCAGCAAGGGCAAGAGCTGAAGACATCAAAGACCCTGCAAAACTAAACGGCAAGAGTAAGCCAGGGGCAAGCTGAAATGCTCACAAACTTGCCGACCTTGATTCAGCAATCGATGCTCTAGGGAGGTAGGATGACAACTGGAACTCGACTGTCGCGTGAAGCAGGCGTGGAAAGAGCTTTTCTAAACTTATACATTTTATACATTGATTGCAAATGCATGACCAAGCCAGGTGAGTCACCTGTAGCGGACATGCAGAGATGCGCTCCCAACGCTTCTGACTCATCCTTTGGGCAGGTCTCTGCTAAGGCCCCGGCTCTATCAGGAAACATGGCCGCGGCACAAACACTCTGCATACCTGAAGGCAAATGCACTGACAGCAGCCATCCAGCCTGATGTTTCCAAACTCAGAGCCTTACCTCCCAAGGAGGAGCCAACCTGTTTGGGACGAAGCAAAGCCGGGTCAAAACAATGCGCCGTTGAGCTGAGCTCGCAACGCAAGCGTGGACTTTGGAGATGCCCAGGTGGTCCATTAGGAGGAACTGCGCCGCAACCTGGTCCTGCACCTGCAGAGATCTGCAGAGATCTGCAGAGCAACTGAGCAGAAAAAGAAGGGAAAATAAACCACTCGATGGCCGCCTCGAAGCGCGGAAACCGACTCCCGAAGCGCTTCCCGGTGCTGCTGTCAAAAGATGAAGGCCCACTGCGCGGCGTGCTGCATGAAGGATTTGTTCGACTTTAAGCTGGGAAAGACTTGTGCCTGGATCCATAACATCCGCCGAGATTGTTGGTGCAAATTACCTGAGGCAAAGTCTTCCTCTGCTATTCCTTGCTGGGCTGAGCTTTACGTTCCCTCATGTCTGAGGATGCGTCGAAGAAAAGGTTGGTGTCCAGCGGCCTCCCTGGACCGATGTAGTCCTGAAGTGGAAACAGAAACCTACGCCTCGCGTGCTGCTGGGCTGTTCCACCTGCAAAGAACAGTCCATAAAAAAAGGTCCTCCCACCACCCTGGTGCTGGATTTCGAGCGTGAGAGCAAGCGTGCGACGACGCAGACATCCCACACCTCTGCTCACAACATATGACGCCCTGAGGGGAAGGGCGGCAAAAGACCACTTAGGTCAAGAGTCTGTGCAGCATGCTAAGCGTTGGGAGCATTTGCAGCAATGCTTTCAGTGAAGACAATGCCGAGGTGGTGGCTGAAGAAGTATGGCATTGTCCCTCTTTGCGTTCTGACGGGGCAGTAACGCACACACCCAGAGTGTACTTTGGCCAAACCAGTGGCTCTTGCATTTTTACATGTTGCTAACAGAAAAAACTGAACTTCGGCAACGCTGCGCCTCTGTCCCAACGGTGGCTTCACAACACGACAAAAGAGCTACTGCAAGATTCGCACAAGAAAGCGCAGGCGCACCAGGTGACCCCACGTTTCGTAGGCGATCTGCAACCTGAAGCTATACTGTGCAACATAGCTTTAGATACCACCAGCAGCACACACGCACAGCAGATGCAACAGCACACTCTCCAAAGCACTAAGGCTCCAGCTCAGGTATCTCTTCGCCATTTCGGAAGGTGAATGGAGCTTTTCTGTGAAACATGTGGTGCCTTAGCAAAGTCCAGACATCAAGGCTGAGGCATACTGTAAGCAGGTCAGCATGAAGACAACACGTGCAGCATGGTCCTCTGGGCTTTCTGAGATTGTTGCTTCTTGAGTTTCTACTTGAGTTTTGTTGTGATGCAGTGGAGCAGAAGGATGTTGCATGCACGGCAGGCGCAGAGAAGGCCTAAACAAGCGCCAAGCATAGCAAAGCAAAGCCAAGTCAGCCGCTGGCAGCGGCTAGCACTAGAGGCAAAGCTGGGCCCAGGGTTGGGCGCGGCCAGGTTTCAACGAAACAAGGAAGAACTCATGGTCAACCCTGCCCTAGAGGATGCAAGCATACAAGCATCTTACTGGGTCCTGAGAGTACACACCCGAATATCAAACAAATTCGCCAACAAAGAGCAAACTGCGAATACCTAATGTTAAAAGCCAAGGAAGACCACCGACATCGCTTGCGCTGGGGCAACTGCCCTTCAAAGTTGCCACCAGTGTGGTACTCAGGTTCACAATTCACTGGCGGCGACTGTCATGAGCGTACTTAGAACGACTGGTAACATCCATGACATGCTGTCCTCTGGCTCTTTCGCAGCGACCGCCAGACTTCGGACGAGACCGAGCTGCAAATACCTTTCCCCATCACAAGTTGCTCCACTTGCTCTTCTTGTTGATTTGCACTGTTCCCCTGATTCTCACCGCTAAGCCCTTGAGCAACCAAAAAACAGATAAACGGCCATAACACCAACACTGAGCGAAAGCGCCTGGGACCGTGTCGCGCTCGCGGCAACCAAGCTGCAATCTGCACAATGGATGCAGGCGGCACTTTAGTAGGTTGCGTCATCTCGGCGTGCAGCCAACCCAGCCTTCGTCCCAGCGATGTGTCTCGCTGCCATTTGCATCATGCTGAAAACTGCCCTAAGCTGTTCGATACCTGCCGCTGTGCCCCGTTAAAAGCTTGCAGATGTATCCTTGCCATCACATGTGGCAGCTGCTATCCCCACCTCCTGTTCTTGCTATATGCTGTGAAATGGCTGCGTCCGCGTGCTCAATCCTCTCTCTATGTGTGATTGGATCAATCAAAGCAGACTCACACCGATCCTGTCCACACCTCCTTGCCCTTCCTGGGAAAGAATTGTTTTTGCACGACACTCCAGTACAGATCTTGTTTGACTAAATGCCTTGGACCGGAGTTTTGGAGCGTGCTTTGGCCTGCTGTGCTTCCCTCAGCTCTTGCGACATCGTAGTCTGCACAGCACAGCTTGCAAGCAACAAGGCAAACTTGCGAGTCACATGCAAGCTGCCAGGAGAAAAAATCACAGCTGAGGAAGCAGATCCATGTCCCAGTCGGCGTTCCAGACTAACACACCCTGAAGCGACTTGGCGCATACTCTATCAGTTATCAGAATCGCACGTTGCTCGCACGAGTCGTTGCACTCACAGCAGGGATGGCACCATGGCTCACCATCGTCTTTGTCATCTTGAACATTGCGAGCGTGACACGGGCGTCCCCGCTGACTCTCATGCCATGTCCTGTCAGTTGTCTTCTCCAGATGGAAGGCAGCACGGCCTGGCAAGGAGACCTGCTTAAGGTCGAGAACCAGCGCCACGGAGCTTGAGCAAAGGTGTCGTCGCCGCCAGACGCAGAGCTCACCAAGCTAGACCATCAACATGGCGGCAGATTTGAATCTCGGTGCTTGTGCCAAGCACTGGAACAAACCTGCTCACAACCGCACGATACAGATTGCGCTGTTGGATTACTACATGGAATTCCAAAAAAAAACTTCGCCAGCCTCTGACTATGGCGACCGAACGCCTCCAGAACATGTTGGGATGATTTCTGGCATGTAGCAACTTCGCATGCAGTCCACGCCTGTGATCTTTCAGCACATTGCTGCTTCCATTTCGGGTACTCCTGTGGCGCGCCACCTCGACAAATTGCATGTCTCTGATGGCAAAGTTCATGGTGTGAGTGAATTGAGCCACAGACGCTCAAGTCCTTTCTGGTGAAGGTCCCAGAACAGGGTGTACCTCTGTACTTCCCAGTGCGTGTGGGCTTCCAATTCTTTGGGCAGTCTACATGGCAATCCGTCTCGAACAAATGGCCAGCAGGAAAAACTTCGAAATCTCAAATTGTATTAAACCTTACCCTGGTACCATTTCCACATCTGTTTATGCACCAGCCGCGCACTCATCTGGAGGTACTGTGCGCCTTTGTAGGCTTCTGTCTGAAAGGGATTGAAAAGGTGCCACAAGTGGACCACCTTGACTCCATGGTCCAAAGGGAGCGACCAATTTGACGATGGTTCCCACTGGTCGTCATGGTGCAGGAAGGGCATGATGTCCAGTAACTCCGGATATAGATTATAAGTGAGGGGTATGATGTTGTAGGTGTGGTTGAAGTATGCATCCAGCAAATCCTGCTCAACAAACTGCGAGAAGGTGCCCCGGTCCTCATAGTGCAGGTCTGCAAGGAGCTGGTCAAACCTTGACAGGGTCAGAACACAACGAGCTTTTCGACCTTTCCGGCGTCCGGAGCGGATAGTTAACTTAACTGTCTAACACAAACTCTCCATCAGCCGATTTGAAATAATAAGTGGAGCTACGTACCATGATTGGGAACAGGGCAAGGCAAGACAGCTGGTTGCCGTCTGAGGCCTGGACTTCTCGCTGTCAGGCTCGAGAACCATCACGCCAGCACTCAGCTTTGGCTTGTCCATTTCACCCATCAAAGTGTCCTGGAGCAGCATTGCTATGCCAGTCTGCCCATCAAGCACTGTACGCATGCTTGAGTAGAAGCAACATCCTTGTTGACTGTGGCCGAGGGAGATGGCAACCAGAAAAGCTCGTCGACGTTCTGGAGCACAAGCGTGTCTGCGTCCTGTACAAATCATCACTCCAGCTCAAGATGCAATATGAAGATGGCACGGCACTGCTACTCAACTCGCGAACACAATACATCTGGAACTCGTTTCACCAAACCGCTGGTCCATCATCACAATCTTTCTGAGTCCCTTTCGATCAAGCTGTAGAACACGCAGCTTGGTCAAGACGAACTCATATCTGCTTGATCGGCTAGTTGAAAAAGCCTGGAGCTCACTGCTCAGTTTCCCAAACTAGACGATGCGCAAAGAAATCCGACCAAGCAGCAGGAGCTTGAATCGGATCCGCAAAGTCGATATCGCAACAGCACCTGCATATTCAGAGAACTCCAGAGCATAGAAACAGGAGCCTTCTCCTTGCGCTCACCACATCAACGTCACACCACGGAAGGCACAGACCAAATACCACTTTCTACACAGGTCTTACCAAGCCCAATTCACAACGGATGAGTGCGTCTTACAGATCACAAACATCAGGAGAAGATTGAACAAATTGGCAGCGTCGAAAGAAGACCATCAGGCGCTTGAAGAATGAGTACCCGTGAGTACAAATGTGCAGTCAAGTGCAGGAACGGAAGAGAAGTTCAGTCGTGTAGACGGCACCGCCTCATACAAGGCCGTGCCCTGGTAGTCCCGAAAAACACGCGCTGGGCGGCACGCCCAAAAAACGAGATGTCTTCTAGAACTTTTCCTGGCCTGGACAAGATTCCAAGCTTGCTCCTTGCAATCTTTCCCCTTGCCACGATGCAAATTCGCCGAAATGCAGATCCTGAAGCAGCCAGTCCCGTTGCCCACACGATAGCGTTGTCCACAAAGTCTTCAGTCCACAATATTGTAACATATGCGAAATCTCTTCCAGATCGTGGTTGCGGCAACAACGGCTCCTGGCGGTTGGAATCCATGCAAATTGCAACATTGCGCAGAAACCCGCCATCAGTGAGACACGGCAGCTGCGTGTCCTCAGCTTCTGGTCTTCCACGGTAGCCATCTTGATACAAGCGCAAGCTCCTCACAACTTGCTGTGATGCTAACCTCCGAGAGTAGAACTAAATGTGCATCCGGCAAAATGCAGCCCCCCCCCTCCCCGACTCTCCTTATCCAGAAGAACCCCTCCTGCTTGTCTGCAAGGCAGCCACAGAAGGAAAAGGATGGTGGTCGGGCTTGGGGGGTTCAAGGGTTTAGGGTT